AGCACGCCTGCCACAGGTTCGCCAGTCGTTCTACCCAGTGTGTCAGGTCCCAAGAACAAGGTGCCAGCGGATGAAAAAGAAAAGTAAGAGAAACAAGAAAAACAAGAGAGACAAAAGTCTGGGATCAGGGAGCTTACACTCTCAGACGCAGCCTCAAATACCAATTTCGGTCACCTTTTATTGAGCGAGAACCCAGGGCGTAGCTAGTACAAATGGGCGGATACCAAACGGTTTAGCAAGGATAATAAAGGATTACACTTCTCCACGTGTAATCCAAGACACACCTGTAATCCCAGCACTCAAGAGGATGAGACAGGAGGATCATAAACTCAAGCTTAATCCGGGCTGTATAATGAAGGCTTATCTTAAGAAACTCTAACAAATAATAAACAAATCATTGTGTCCTCAATGCATTCTAATCAAAGAATGTCCTCCTCCACACGCCACCACTGGCCTAGACACACAGCGAATGTTCAGTGAGCAAGAAATAACGTCTGCTGTAGAAAGCCACTGGGATTTTGAGTTGTTACTACAGTATAACCCTCCCTATCCTAATGAATAAAAAAATGCAAACATGTTGGATATTTTTGCTTGAGTGCAATTTTTAAAACATGTGAAAGAGGCTTCAGAGGTCTATGAACCTCTGAAATTACACAGAAATATATGACATATTTTTCTAGGAACATACAAATATCAGGATTTCTCTACATTGTCAACAGACAGTACCCAAGAATTAAACCCACCCTTTCCCCAGTATTAGCCTTCTCTTTGGGACGATGTCTTATCTCTAGGACATACATCATCCCCTGAATCTTAATTTCAATATAGCTCTGTAAGCAATATCACGTTCTCTTTCTCTGTACAGTACTATTTGACATATTTTTTCTTTTTTTTCTGACAGTTTTTCTTTATTCCTAGAATATCTATTTTCTCACTTCTTGAGCGATCTGTTTCGTGTTCACTGCCGTATTCCTAGTGCCAACCACATAGTAGGTATTTGATGAATACTATTTAAATAGTTGAACAATGATACATAGAAAAAAGAGAAAAAAAGGTGTTATATAACATCGTATTCACAGAGAGCTTCATGACTCAAGCAGGGTTAAAACACAAAGCTAAATTATTTCCTAATTATTATTTACCCTGTCTAAATAATTCAAACATTTAAAGAAACATCTGAGAAGACAGAAACTCACCCTTGGTAGATACTAAAATCTAAGTGCAAGAGGCTCTGTCTTAAGTCACTTTTCTCATAGCTGAAAAAAAAAAATACCTGACACCCCCACCTAAAGGGAGAGATTTATTTTGGCTGTTTCAGTGCACAGTCTCTGTGTTCTCACTGCCTTTTCCGTTTCCTCCCACAGTGAAAGGGGCAAGGGAGCTCTTCAGGGCCTCTTGTATGGAGACACGTATCTAGTCATGACCTGATCATTTCCCAGAGTCCTCATTTCACAATTTCTTCACACTGGGGATTTGTCAGTTTGGCGGGGGAAGGGGACAGCACGGCACAGGGGAACAGTATAGGAATATCTGCTCACCTCATGGCAGACAGGAAGCCGAGGGTCAAGGGAGGGGCCAGGAAGGGAGCTATAATCTTCTGGGTCATGCCATGGTGACCCGCCTCTTCCGACCTGGCCCCACCTCCTACCAGCAAGTCAGCTATGCTGCTCCTATAATGCAGTCATCTTCTGAAGGTCTGTCTGCCCTGGACATCTCTATAAACTGTAAGTGGCCCATAAAAGATATTTTGCTCTAGACTGGGAAGAGCAGCATGTTTAGCATGTCTAAGGCTATGAGTTAAAACCACACACAGCACTACAAAAAAAAAAAAAAAAAAAAAAAACCTTTTCTGAAATAGTACATTTCTAAAATATGGAGGTTAGCCAGTATCTAGTGAGAAAGATGATGTGGACTGAATGTTTATTTCCCCTTCCCCCACCAAACTGACAAATCCCCAGTGTGAAGAAATTGTGAAATGAGGACTCTGGGAAATGATCAGGTCATGACCAGATACTTGTCTCCATACAAGAGGCCCCGAAGAGCTCCCTTTCCCCTTTCACTGTGGGAGGAAACAGGGAAAAGGCAGTGAGAACAGCAGTGGGACCTCACCAGATGCTAACGTTGCTGGCAACTTGATCACAGACTTCCTGGCCTCAAAACAGCATGAAATAAGTTTCTATTTTTATCACCATCTAGTTTCTGATATTTTGTTTTAAAGCCCAAGTGAAACTAAAACATAAATCCAGTGATGTAGATAAAAGTCAGTAACACACAGTACAAAAAACTTCAGGACCAATCTTGCAATGTAAGATAAATAAGAATTTAATATTTATTATGATGTTTATACAGTAACACCAAAATAATGCTCAATAAGTTACATAGCTATTTCCTAAAAACACTGGAAAAATGTAAGGCAAACACAGTAGGAATGACATACGAATTTATTACTCAAAATTGAAAATATAGTTATCTATCTTTTAAACTGATTTGATTTCTACATAAACAAAAATATTTTAAGTATAGAAATAGTCTTAAAACATTGTATACTATTTAAAGGTTTGCATCTATTGCACATATTTGGTGTAGGCTTATTTGATCAGATATCATGCAGAAAAATAATTATGAGTATGAGGTTAAGGAAAGCAAGGATGTATTTTGTACTACAAAAACTAGATGAAGAATGATAAATTTCACAGTTTAATTTTCAGACGTTTATTAAACTATTGCATAAAATTGCTGCGCAAAGCCATCACACAAGTGAGCTAAGAGCTATTAAATATAGTAAAATAGCTCTGTTGGTATATCAACTATTCTTCTGATACACAATTAGCACTCTCCTTGGCCATCTAAAAAGGTGGTCTTTATATAATTTTAAAACATTAAATGACAAAATGTTAAGTACAGATCTGTTTGGGTATGTCAAAAATAGTCATCTACTTGACACATAATCAAAATTATATCATTTTAAACATGGAAAAACTAGAGAGAACTGAACCTAGACATACTCTGTAAACCACTTTGTAAGTAGTGGAATGTCTTTGTTTTCCTTCTTAAATTCACTCAGCCAAACACTGATAGTTGTGGAGATGATCTGTAAACACTCCCATTTATTTATACTATTTCCTGAGGTAATCTGGATACTATTGTTATTACAGTAGCCTCACGATTTAATATCACTGCAAATTTACTTTGTTTTTTTTTTTTTTTGTTTTTCTCCGGTACCGGGAACCGAACTCACGACCTTGCGCTTGCCAGGCAGGCGCTTTTGCCGCTGAGCTAAGTCCCCAGCCCCTGCAAATTTACTTTGGAAAACTTCAAAATAAAAACAAAATTTAACTGTGGAGTAATGTGTACTTTAATATGCTTTCTCTATTTAAAAAGCAATATTTAAGAAATTCCTAGGTATCAAAATAAAATGTTTTCTATTTTCAGATGACAAGAAAAATTCATCCATAAATCCTAGGCCATAAAAAAATAAATTTCCAAATCAGCTCCTTTATTACTCTAGAACAGTGGTGGCAAATCTATGCCACGCGTCATGCAGTGGGCACCTGAAGCCTTCTCTATAGGCATGTGAGCCTGGCATCAGGTAACAGTTGTTTTTTCTAAACTAAACCCTCAATAGTCAGGTTTAACTGCAGCGTTGGCACTTTGCAATAAATAAGTGGGTTTTGAGTTGCAGTTTGGGTGCTCGTCTCTAAGAGGTTCTCCACCACTGTCTTTCCATCTTAAAACATGGTAAAATAGTGTCCTCGTGCCAATATTAGCTAGACTTCTATCTGAAACAAGAGACAAGTGCCCATCCAATGATAAGTGCATACCTCTTAATAGTCTTTTCTCGAAGAAAAGTGAGAGATAAAATTATTTACATCTGTTGAGGGGGATGGGTTGTTAATTACTATTACCAGGATGGCAACTGATTTGAATTGATTTCTACATAAACAAAAATATTTGAAGTATAGAAATAGTATACTGTATATTATTATATACTATACAATAGTATACAACGTTCAAATGTATGTTTTAATGTATTAAATTTCTTGAATAAAGCAATTTAGTATTTTTCAGAAAATGCATTGCTTTGATACTGAAATCTGCAATGTTAAATAATTACAGTTAAACATAAAAACACTAAAATCTACCTTTTAATTTTTTTTTCTTTTTGAGACAGGGTCTCGATATGTATTTCAGGCTGGCCTTGAACTTACTATGCAGCCTAGACTTGTCTCAAACTTATGCTGATCCTCCTGCCTCGAACTCCTGAGTGCTGGAATTACAGGTATGCAGCACCACACCCAGCAAAAAAAAAACAACTACCTTTTACATGACACAGCCTGCCTTTGTAGATTAACAAACATGTATTTCATTTTCACTGTTAAAAAATCAAGAAAAACGTAATTATAGAAATTTCAACACCTTAAAAATAGAATTTATGCCATGACATTTTAAAGCTCTGCATCTTATATACTATTACTATCTTTAATACTAATTGTAATTTCATTCATCCCTATATCAAAAGGCAGCACTGGTAACCTTGATAATGATATATACACACAGTATTATAGAATTATTTTTTACAAAGGGTCAGGATTGGTTAATATTTCCACACACTATATACAACCACTATTCTTATTCCTTCTCCCCTTCTAGGAAATTGTCCAATGCTTGCCTGTAGTATCATCCACTGGCACTAATGATTAGGATGCTTGAACCATGCAGTTATGTTTTGATTCAATAATATGACCCTGAAGTACCCATGATTTTTTGGAAATTTAAGCCTAAGCAATAGTATTTTTCAAGCCAAGCTTTGTCAACTTAATAATTTGTATTGTAAAGAAGGGAAACTACCATATTGCTACTATTTAAAATAGAAGTGCCTTCTCTGTGCTCCAATAAAGTAAAAGCTACATTCTCTTAAAATTTTAAATGATGCTTTTTGAAGATACCCACACAAGCGATCTCTATACCCTAAAACAATGTTTAATATTTACTGAAATACATAAATAGAAAATGTACTTTATTTCTCTGTAAGTATAAGAATATAATTCTCTACCATTTACAAATACAATTTGGTAACATATTTCAAAGACGTCCTATGGTGCCACATAGATTATCAATTTCTATTTACCAATTCTGTATGTTACAATTATCTATAATTATACTTTGACCTTGGCCAACCACTTAGATATTATCTAAATCTTCCATGAATAGTGCAGATGATATGTTTATAAAATGTTTCAATATTTTCAAAACCTCAATAAGCTAAGCAATAATTATTTGTAAACCCACAGTACTAAAATTACAGTAACACTTTTTATACAGCTGAATCATATAAAATATGACATGGTAACTATGTTATATTAAGCATTACTTCATATAGGTACAGCAGTGTTTCCCAAATTATAATACACATATACCATAGGATAGCCCTGAGATGATTTTTAAATCAAGTGGTACATGGATAAATATTTTCTCTTTAATAGTTAAAAATTTATTTTAATATTTATAATGAAAAATAATCAGCATGTAAAATATGAAATATGATTGCTTGTAACATGGCTAAGGTATAAAAAGCTAAAATGTTAAAACAAACAAGTAAATGATGGCACAGGATATATTTCACATGACCAGGAAGATGTTCCCACTTTTCAGAAATGCAGTATTATGGAATGATTTTATTCACCAGGATTGTTTCTGAGTGCTTATAATGATAAGCCATATCATAAAGATGTTTATTCTATTACAGAAAATTTCTTTGTCCCCTAGGACAAGTTTTTAACAAAAAAGTCCTTATGTTTAAGATATTAATTTGAAAGCATTCAATAAATTTAAGTGACTTTAAAAGCATTCTCCAAAACAGTAAAAAAAAAAAAAAAAGTTAAAGCAGTTTTGAGGGATATGCTCTTCCTACAGAAGAGAGATTACAAAGGCACGTTACCTATTATGGTTACCGTTGCAGCATCCAAATAAAAGTGAGCGAACTAACAATTAACAAATAGTTATAATATTCTTTCATAAAAAAGAAGGTAAGCTTGTGCACAAAGTGCTCTTGATTCTGGAACCACCTGCACGTAAGTGTCACTAACGTGGACCCACTGGCCTCCTGATTCACTATCAGGTTCCTTCAAACCTAACAAAATAAAAAGCAGAACTTTACAATAAGTACGTTTTATGTTCTCTAAAGTATAAACAGCAGCATATTCATTGAAGACTATGTTTTTCTAGTGACAGATCTTACTGCATAAGTCTCTTTCTTCTTGGAGTATTTTCCAAAATGAACTAATACTTTCAAAGCACTAATATTATTGTGGTAATTAATAATTATCTCCAGTTAGTGACACTTTCATTTAAATATCTACTGAAATATTAGCTAAGTAAATACTGACTTGCTCAGAGAAAAGAAAAATTCACTGAAAGGCAGGAAAGGAGCAAAGTTACTGTGATCATGTATAGGCAAAGCCAGCAAAGTTCCAACTTGATTTGGAGGACTTGGTATGTCCTCAAAAAATGTTGGTTATTATTAAATTCTACTGTACTACAGTACAAAATGACTCAATGCCTTGAAAAGCCATGTGTCACTTCATATCACCTAAAAGGGTAGTCTTGTAATAATTAAGATTCCCTAAGACTAAGCACTCTTAGTCATTCTCACTTAACATTAATAAAGTGAATCCAAGTATCTACTGTGAAATAATAACCTACTTCTTCCCAACAAAGGAGGATAAATTCATTTATTTTCAAGAATAAAATATACTTTAAAAAGCCTGAAGTATCCTTAGGAGGGCATACCAGGTACACTTTTCTTTCCAGTGATGTGTTCCAATAGTTTCCTGGAGGGCAGTCTCACTTTCACGTATGCAGTGTAATGACCTCCTCTCATTGAGCCACTGTGTTCCACTATGCCATAGAGATCATAGAGAACTTTATCTCCCACACTTACATTCTTTTAAATAAAGAAAAAAACCAAAGTTAGTGACATTTAGTGAAATACAATTATAAGAAAAAGCAAGTAAATATATATCCTGCTTCCAACAGGGAAATGCATTATTCAATTGCACTGAGATACTTTTCATGCACCAATTAGGCCTGATGAGACTGCTGGCCGGTCTGTGGGGAATAAAAGGTACTTGTGGGACTCCACGTGGGAACACATAAGGGCACTACCTTTTTGCAGTGATGTTTCATACTAAGTTACATATATATTACTGTTGGATTCATCAATCCTATTTATAGAACTTTACATTTACAAAAATTCTTTAAAAAATGCATCAGACTATTAACAACAGGATTATTGTAACATCAAAAGACTCCAATAGACTCCATTGTCTATAAATGAAGGAATGATTAAATCAACTGTAATGCATCCACCCAATAGGGCATTATGTTGCTTTAAAAATGGAGAGAGGGAGGGACAGAGGAGAGAAAAATGGAATGCAGACTGTATTTCTATGAAATAATCTCCAGCTCAAAAAATAGAATAAGATAGAAAACAGGGATATACAGTATAAGCTACATTATTTAAGAAGGGAGATGGAAATATACACAGCTATCTGCTTATATTTTAAAACAAAAAAGAGTAAAACATAGTTTTAAAATATTTATAATGGCCGGGCGTGGTGGTGCACACCTGTAATCCCAGCACTCAGGAGGCTGAGGCAGGAGGATTGTTGCAAGTTGAAGACCAGCCTGAGGTACAAAGTGAGCTCAAGGCCAGGCTGAACTGCAGAGCAAGACCCTGACTCAAAAAAGGCAAAATAAAATAAAATAAAATATTCATAAAGTAGGAAGCAAATACACATGGGAGAAAAACAAAACTTTGAATTTATTTTTTTTAGTCTATTTGATACATTTGGCTTTCAAACTATGTAAACATTTTATGTAATTATTAAACAAAATTAAACTTTAAAAAGCAATCACCAAACAGGAAAGTTTTTAAAGTGCATAAATGAAAAATATAGCTGCACATGGTGGCACATGCTTATAATCCCAGCACTTGGGAGGCTGAAGCAAGAGGATCACCACAAGTTCAAGGCCAGCCTAGGCTATGTCATGAGTTCAAAGCTAGCCTGAACTACACAGCAAGACCCTATCTCAAACAGAACAGAACAAAACAGAACAATATACATACTAGCTGGTGACATAACCCACTCTGCCAGGAACTACTGTGCTTATGTCAGAATGACTACAGCCAACTTGAAGTGGCGCTCAGTGCTAAAAAATGGATACATCAGTTAGTCTACTGGAGCATAAACAAAAAGCAAAATAGTGTAATGTACTGAAACCTGTCTACTGAATCCTGAAATTTATGATGAGAAGTCAATCACAGTTTGAGCACACTTCGGGGAGTTCAGTACTTCATTATTTTGAAAACTGGCTCAGAAAGAGTCAAGCATTTATCCTTCCTTTTCCATAAGGCCTATACCATAAAAAAGGAAGGAAGGAAGGAAGGAAGGAAGGAAGGAAGGAAGGAAGGAAGGAAGGAAGGAAGGAAGAGAAGAAGGAAAGAAAAAGACTAAAGGGAAGCACCTGGGAAGCAGAGGCAGGAGGATCACTGCAAGGTCAAGGCCAGCCTGGGCTACACAGGGAGTTTAAGGCCAGCCTGCACTATATAGTGAGATCAAAACCAAAACAAAACAAAACCACCTAAGAGGAATAAGGATGAAGATAAAAGGAGTTTCTCTAGAAGTGTTGCCGTGGATAAATAAAGGAGAAGTGCCATTCTAGGGCATCACTGTGGAACTCAGTGAGCTCATGGATGTAGCACTGAGCACCACTGTTGCAAATGTCACACAAGACACATCGAGGGGTGCAGTGCACTCCGAGTTTTAGAACAGAACACGTCCTATGAAGCAGCCTTACCAGACAAGGGGGAGAGGGATTAAATCAGAATCTACTCAAGTTTCTCTAGGTCTGACTACTTATTTGTAAGATCTAAAGAAGACAGAGTAACAATCATCAAAACCTGAATTATGAGCAACACAAGAAAAATAACCTGGTTTCTGCAACAAATACATGGCAAGCAAGGTAAGAGAGGCAGGAGAAGGGAAAGCACATTAAAGGAGTCTTAAGTGATACCATCCAATCATACCACATGGCCCTTATTTGGAAATTAGATCATTTGAAAATCACATTTGTGAGATAATTAGATCTATGTACACTAGATGACACAAAGGAATTACATTAAATGACACAGCTGCTATGTTTCTTAAAAAGGATAGGGAGTCTTTCTTATCTTGTAGATGAAATATTTATGGGTGATATGATGCCTGACCTTAACTTCAAATAGTAACAGTGGAAGTGGTGGATGTGTTGATGGGGCAGGACTGGCTGTAGATCCAAGGTTTTAGGGCTGGGTATGGAGATTCGTTATGTTGTTCTGTCTAATGTATTTTGGGGTGGTGAGATAGGGTTACACTATGGGTTCAGGCTGGTCTTGAGCTCACTATGTAGCCCAGGCTGATGTCAGCCTCCCAACCATTGGGATTACAGGTGTGTGCCACTACCCTTGGCCGTGTTCTAATTTTGTGTACATTAGAAATTCCCCATAATAGGTACTCTTGAAAATATAATGTTCCTATAAATTTAATACAACTTACTGAATTGCTTTTTTGGGGGGTGGGGGGGTACCGGGAATCGAACTCACGACCTTGCGCTTGCCAGGTAGGCACTGTGCCACTGAGCTATATCCTCAGCCCTGTGTTATTATTTTTAACACATTATTAAATTCTAGGAATACTAAGTGTTAATACTTGACAGGCAGTGCTATTTTTCCACAGCAGATACATTAGATTCACCAGAAACCACACTTAAGATTTTTTTTGTTTTGATTGGTTAGTGTACTGAAAATTTTAAGTTCAAAGCATTCTGGTATTTACCATAGAGGACTCCTGGACAATAATCGTGAACAGGATTTGAGGTTACCCTGTAAGTGGCTCCTTCAAGAAAAATCTAAGGGGCTGGGAATTTAGCTCAGCGGCAAAAGCGCCTGCCTGGCATGCGCAAGGTCGTGAGTTCGGTTCCCGGTACCGGAGAAAAACCAAAAAAAAAAAAAAAAAAGAAAAATCTATCAATATTATCAGCATGAATCTTACATACAAGCCAAGCAATTATAAACCAATATTTTCTATACCTAGTTAGTAAGCTGGTATAACAGTATGCCTAGTTTCTATAACTAGTAAGGTACTAGCAATTTTGAAGTATCATACTCATCTGACAGGTACACTACTCTCAGAACACATGAAATGGCTTGAAAAACAACACACTGGTTTGTTGATTTGCAAAAGATGCAGAACTCCACAAATGCTAAATGGACTACTGATTAAGTAGATCGCTCAAAAGGAAGAAGAGGGCACAAAGCCCACTCGCTCCTCTCAGCAACCATCAGCTTCTAATTGCATTTACAAGCAGCTTTGATCTTCTTAATCACCACGCCTTCTCTTTTCCCCAAAGGTTGCATCCAGTGTATTAAATGTGCCGTGAGTTACTGATTTCACTTCACTATATAAATTTAGAGGTGAAATTTATTTAAAAAACAATGAGGGCCGGGGATATAGCTCAGTGGCATAGCGCCTGCCTGGCAAGTGCAAGGTCCTGAGTTTGATTCCCAGTACCAAAAAAACCCCAAAAAACAAGGAAACAAAGCACAGCCTAATAAACAGTGCACAGGATATCTTGAAGCTTATCAGCTTATTATTTGCAAGTCAATTAAATTCCCCAAAGTACAGTACCTTACAGGTAGCAGAACAGAATGGTGCCAGGTCAAGCGTAAGTGGAAAATCTACATGTCTGTTTACTTTACGAAGACTCATGCCAGCCTTAAAAAGACAAAAACAAAACAAAACAGTTTTTTAATGCAACAGACTTAATTAGGTCCAAAGCAATGTGTTAAAACCAAAAGGGACATTCTGGGAATTTTTTCATAGATATAAATAAATATGACTAGTAAGTAGTCCACAACTGATATGGCTAAATTACAGATTAGGTTTCATAAACAATTACTGCAAAGATTATTCACTTACACGGGTAAAAATCAGAACAATAGGGAACTTCCACTGTGGCTTTTCAACATCAATGAAAAATAAACTTAATGTGTTAAAAGCTAAGCTGCTGACATATATGCCATCGAGAAATGTATCCAACTAAATAGCCAAGACCTTGATGTTCTAGGCCTACCTCAATGACTTGTTAACAGTGTACCTGACTTAAGGTCATCTAGGTCAAGGCAAAAAACAGGTACAAAATAACGTGGTGGTGCATACCTGTAATTCCAGCACTCTGGGAGTCTGAGGAAGGAGTACTGCAAGTTCAAGGTAGCCCAAACAATTCAGGAACTTAGCAATACCATTTTACAATAAAAAATTTTATAAAGAGCTGGGCATGTAGCTCAGTGAAGGCCCTGGGTTCCATTTCAGGTAAAGGGAGAAAAACCAGACAAATGGATTATAATTCCTTCTCATTGCTAAAATTCAATAATAGCCATTTACTAAAAAGAAAAAAAAACTAAACACTTTATCAATAAAAGTGGCATAAATTATATAGATCAAAATGAACTCTCACGGGGATTTTGTTTGTACTAGTACTAGGAATTGAATCCAGGACTTTGTGCATGCTAGGCAAGTACTCTCCCACTGAGCTACCACCCTAGCCCTTTTTATTTTACTGTATTTTGAGACAAGGTCTCACTAAACTGCCCAAGTTGGCCTGCAACTTGGAATCTGCTTGCCTGAGCCTCCAGAATAGCTGGCATTAAGGGTGTACAGCACCCTGCCAGGCTAACTTTTATGTTCTTGAGTAAGCTGTACCTTTTTTTCTGTTTTTTAATTTTTGAAGGCAAATTTGCTTTGCATCATGTAATTATAATAACAACTACCTGATAGGTTAGGTTATTAAAGGTACTGGGTAAGCAACCTAAAATTATAAATAAGCTCTCTTGGAATGAGAAGGCACAGAATTATCTGAATTACTTGTGTAGACAAAAATTAACACATGCAACCTTTCATACAGGGCTTTCATGACTTCATTCACGGGCCTCTGCATTGCATACTACTCACATTATTTCACTGTGGAGCTACCATCTGAGACAGGGTCTCACTATGTAATTCAGGCTGGCCTTGAACTTGCTGCAATTCTCCTGCCTCAGCTTTCTGAGTACTGGGATTAAAGACATGCACAAGCAAGCCTGGCTCCTGTCACCTTTTTGTTTCTTACTTTTCTTTAAAGAAAAAAGCCAACCTAATTTTTGGAATCTAAATATATCCCCTAGGTGATTTGTTTTTTTCAAGTGCCATTAGAAGATTTAACTTGATACTGAAAATGAAATTATGAAGTCATATCCCAGGAACAATTATTTAACCTATACCCAATTACTCTGCCCCTTTTTTCATCAGGTGCTCTCTCTAGACATCCAATCTCAGATTATTTCAGGGTGGTATGTCTCCCCCAGTCAGTATTTCACTGTTCAGAAAGAGTAAAAAGTAAAGCCTTTTATTTTTATTTTTCCCTAATAGTTAATTTGATAGTCAGTTTGACTGGCCTGAGAGATACCTAGGAGACTAGGAAAGCACTGTACCTGCTTCCTCCACTTCCTCTCGGTTCTTGCCAGCACTTCCTGTGCTCTGTGTGTCGGCCACCATGAGGGGCACAGCTGCTCCACCACGCCTCTGTCTGTTTCTACCCTGGGGCCAGTCAACCCTGGGCCCGAACCTCTGAAGCCCTGAGCCAAGCTAAACCTCTCCTCCTGCGAGCTGCACGTGCCAGGCATTTTGTCCCAGCAAGGGCAAGGCGATTAGGGCATTTACAGAATGAATCCAGCCCCATCCCCAACTGATTTGACAACTCCTTTATCTTAATATAGTAACTTTAAGTTGTACTCATGTTTTATTTATTGGCAAGTCTAATCAAATTAATTCCATTGCTACAGTTTTGTTTTAAATATAAAAAACCTAACTTTTTTGGGGCTGGGGATTTAGCTCAGCGGCAAAAGCGCCTGCCTGGCAAGCGCAAGGTCGTGAGTTCGGTTCCTGGTACCGGAGAAAAACCAAAAAACAAAAAAACCAAAAAAAAAAACCTAACTTTTTAAAAGTATTTCAATTATTCATTCTTCCAAAGAAATTTAAAAATACAAAGAAGTTTCACTGAAAAAAAGGCACTGGATTAAAACTACAAATAAGTGAAAAGAACATGACACATTAAAAAATGTTTAGGCCGTCCTCCACCATGCAGCCCTACAGACACAGGGCTTGCCTTGCCGTCTGCCTGTGTTTAGTTCTCCCTCCGGTGACCTTTCGTTGGGGTAGTGAGTGAGCGCTCAGAAAGCCAGGTGTACTTCACTTTCCTTTTTTTTTAAAAGACAGGGTCTTGCTACGTAGGCCAGTCTGGCTTTGAACTATGTAGCTCAGGCTGACCTCCAGCTTACCAGCGATTGTCCTGTCTCAGCCTCCAGAGTGCTGGGATTACAGGCATGCACCACCATGCCCAGCTCCCGTGTGTACTTTACTAGTTGGCTGTTTTTTTAAGTGCCCATAATAGGATATATTTTCCACTAACACACACAGACATGCTTAGAGATATACTTAGGTTTACATTGCCAAAGTATTCAAATACTGTGAATTAAACAATTTTAATTAGAAAAGCCTTGTAAACTATTATGGCTCAAATAGCAGAAAATCCCTCATGACAAATTTTTAAATTCAACAAATTACTCTCTAATCCTTGACAATATTCTACAGGACAGTGCTCTGCAAAAACACACACAATGAAAGTAACTACAGTGCAGCCAGAGGGATTTTTACCTGATGGAATCTTTTAAGATGGAGAATTAGGATAGCTGGAACAGCAGAAATGAGCAATTGCTTCCTGGCATTAGTATAAACTCCTTCTGCTTTCTTTTCTGTATAAAATACAATAAACTTGTAAAACTATTTTATACATTACCTACAATGTAGTATAGTAAGTTAGAAAGTAGTTAGAAAGAACCATCTTATTACATTTTTAAAAGGTTAAAGAAACTGGACTTCTGATTACAGGGGTCTATTCCTTTCCAAAAGACTACTAAAATGAAAGTTTAATAGGGAATGTTTTAAGGACACACAATAATTACAAAGAATAGGAGAGATAGGACCTGCCAACACACTTTGGGAGCTGGAAGCAGATGTACCAAGAGCAACTTACACCAGGGCCCTCCAACCAAACACCACCAGAAGCACAACTATAGTTTAATAAGTTTAGTTCATTACTGTGCAACAAAGGGAGAATTCATAAATGGGAAATCGTAAGACATTTCAATAAGAGTTTGTTAAACAGGATTTATGACAGGATTTGAATATGGACAACTGCACACTTCACTCAGATTAATGTACTGTAAATCGGTATTTTAACTTCTTCCATTTAGCTAGTATACAAGTCTCTATTCTGATGCTTTGATATCTACAGCCTGGTTGACACTGGAGGGACAGCTTCTCCCAGGGCGAATTCATAGAGACCATAAACAATTAACGTGCACGGTTCACATGCAGACTAACAGTCCAGAGTCCCCACCCCATCAACCTCCTTTACTGGACTGTTATACTCTGGGCCACTATCCATCTGCCCTAATCACCCCAGGGCCAGGTCCCAGTCAATTAGAGATAGCCCCTATACGCAAGAGCCCACTAAAATTATTCAAACTAGCCAGCACAGTCTTCTTTACCTTGCCTTGCCAGTTCCTTCCCTCAGAAACTAGACTGACCCTAGCGCTTGCCCACGTGGCCCTGTCGTGCCTGGCATGCTCCCACTTCTTGGGAATCATAACAGTTTTTCAATTGCAGACTTCCTGGTCTCTTGGCGCTGTCTTACTGAGTAAGAACAGTACCTACATTTTAAAACTACTAGTCAGTAAGAGTACTCTTTCCATTTAATTAAGACTAGAGGTTCACTAAAACTTTCTTACTTGATAGCCCTCCCTTTCCCGCTTTTCTTTGGTCAGAGAACAGTTTTCTCTTCTCTGGATGACGATTTTCTTACATGTTTCCTGTCATGATTCTGTACATGGGCAGTATTTTCAGAGCAAAGAATAGTGTGGCCTCCTTAGACATACATGTTAGTAAGTCCCATTTAACTGTTCCCCAATTATTAATTAACTAAATACTGTACTACTTTTCATAACGTACAAATATTTAAAATCTCCCAATTTCTATCTTAAGCTTACAAGTAGATCGATAGGATTTATGAAAGACGTTAGTCTCCCTGGAGATACAACCAAGTTTTAGGACATTTTTTAGAAAGGTTTTGGATAGTTCCCTCAAATAAAATTAAGTGGATTTGCATTTTCAAATCAGAGGTGTACGCTTCTTGCTCTTTGACTTATTTCAACGAAGTCGACTGAAAAGAAAATCTACTTAGCACGGTCTTAAATGCTCTGGTCGATTACGAGTAGGACAGCTCCTATGCCACGCAGCTCTGGTGTGGAAGGACGGGTCTCAGACTCCACCGGTCACGGACAATGCACCCGTGCGACGAAAACGGATCAAGCTGAATACGCACCTGCAGCGCCGGCCTCCCGCTGGCGCCTCCGCCCCCTCTCGGTGCAGGTCTCGCACAGCAGCTTGTTGTTCCCCATCAGCAGCTCCATGGACGTGAACTGGTAGAGGCAGGACTGCACGGAGCACTCCTTCGAGGTCGTGACGTAGCTCTGAGACAGGGTCTGAAAGGCGTGCTGGGGACTCCGCGACCGCGGGCCCTTCTCGGAAGCACGGTTCGGAAGGCCCGCCGGGTGACTTTCTCTGTCCAAACCGCCGTCTCCAGCCGCGGCGGGGCTCACGCAAAGCTGGGAAATCGCGGCGGCCAGCCGCTCCTCG